TATAGTCTGGTCTATAATCTAGTCTATAGTCTAGTTTATAGTCTAGTCTATAGTCTAGTTTATAGACTAGTCTATAGTCTTGACTATAGTCTGGTCTATAGTCTAGTCTATAGTTTAGTCTATAGTCTAGTCTATAGCCCAGTCTATAAACTAGTCTATTGTCTAGTCTAAGTAGTATATAGTCAAGTCTATAGTAGTCTATTGTCTAGTCTATAGTCTAGTTTATAGTCTAGTCTATAATCGGGTATATAGTCTATACTATAGTCTTGTCTATATTTTGGTTTATAGTTTGATCTGTAGTTTGATCAATAATCTGGTTTATAGCCTACTCTATTTTTGATTTGTGGTCTGGTATTTAATATAATCTTTAATCTGGCTTATAGCCCAGTCTTCAGTCAGATCGATAGTCTGAGCTTTAGTCTAGTCTATTATCTAGTATATAATATGGTATATATAGTATGGTCTATAGTTTAATCTATAGTGATTATAGTCTGGTCTATAGTTTGGTTTGTAGTCAGGTCTAAAATCTGTTTTATAACTTAAAACGTAAAACTTTTTCTATGCTTTACATGTGTATGTGTAAATACACTAAAACTATAAATAACATTTTTATGATAATTCTGTTCATTCAACGTTTCTTGTTTTCCGAAGGGGTTAAATTACAATTGAATTTTTTCTACAACATTAAATATAAATCGAATTTAATTTAAATTTCAATTTTATGCCTAATTTTTAATTTACATTTTGCAATATGCAAATATATTTTAGGTGCTAGTAATCTCAAAAAAGTATTAAATTTTACCCATCTCTTCTATGGAAGTATGATTGTTTTTCGCAATCCTTTTTTTTAAACAAATATTTTTTCTTTTATCAAAAAAGTTAATCAATTCCAATCAATACAGTATTGTTTTGTTTTCATTTTTTTTTTTTTTTCGAATTTTTAATATTTGCAATAATTTTAAGCTAAAGATAAAGGTGAAGACCTTTGATGACAACAATAAACCCTATTGAACTTCTTAAAGAAAAAAAAAAAAAAAAACATTAAAGTCTAGGAAAAGAAATAAAAAGAAAACAATACGCAGATGTCACCAGTCAGCAGCCACCTTTTTTTTTTTTTTTGCAATTACATGCTCGCAAATTTTATTCGTTTGCCTTCAATACAAAATCATTCAATTCAATTAAAAAAATTGTAACCCCCTTCGACGACTATTGTCGCTAAGATTGCAATGAATAAATAAATAAAAGAAAATTGATGTGATCGCAAAAACTCAATGGTTTAGAAAACCTCTGATACACATCATCAAAGGGATACACAACCCTTTTTTTGTCACCGTTGTTTAATTAAATTTAGTGCTTTGCAAAAAAAAAAATAGAAATTGAAATAATTTTACAAATAACGGAAATGTCAAAAATCAAAGATCAAAAATAGAAAGGTCGCAATTTTCTTTTTGCACAACCATTGAACAATGTCGTTAATGTGCTCTAGAAACAAATCTATGACAGAGGTTAGGCTGCAGCGCAAAAACGCAGGTGCTAAACAATTGCTGCCATTTCACCCTTTCCTAAGATGACAATTTGTTTGTCAAAGGATTTTTTTCTTAAGGAAATTGAAATGAAATTGTGCAATTGTTTTTAATTATTTGTGTATTGTTAAAATGCAAAAATATTTTTATCTTTCCTTTTTTGGGTTTCTTTTTTTAATTTTCGAATAATTTTCCCAGGAGTTTTTAATTTGCAAAATTTGTTTTCCTTTTGTAAATGGAAAAAGGATAAAAATCCTTTTTTGAAAGAAAATTTAAATGAAATAACAAAAATAATTGTCTAGCATACAGTTTGACCTCTATTTTAATGTACAGTTCGGTGTATAGTCTAGTCTATAGTCTAGCCTATAGTCTAGTCTAAAGTCTATTCTATAGTCTAGTTTATAGTCTAGTCTAAAGTCTAGTCTAGTCTATAGTGTAGCCTATAGTCTAGTCTATAGTCTAGTCTAAAGTCTAGTCTATAGTCTAGTCTATAGTCTAGTCTATAGTCTAGTCTATAGTCTAGTCTATAGTCTAGTCTAAAGTCTAGTCTATAGTGTAGCATATAGTCTAGTCTAAAGTCTAGTCTATAGTCTAGTCTAGTCTAGTCTATAGTCTAGTCTATAGTCTAGTCTATAGTCTAGTCTATAGTCTAGTCTATAGTCTAGTCTAGTCTAGTCTATAGTCTAGTCTATAGTCTAGTCTATAGTCTAGTCTATAGTCTAGTCTATAGTCTAGTCTAGTCTAGTCTATAGTCTAGTCTATAGTCTAGTCTATAGTCTAGTCTATAGTCTAGTCTATAGTCTAGTCTATAGTCTAGTCTATAGTCTAGTCTATAGTCTAGTCTATAGTCTAGTCTAGTCTATAGTCTAGTCTATAGTCTAGTCTATAGTCTAGTCTATAGTCTAGTCTATAGTCTAGTCTATAGTCTAGTCTATAGTCTAGTCTATAGTCTAGTCTATAGTCTAGTCTATAGTCTAGTCTATAGTCTAGTCTATAGTCTAGTCTATAGTCTAGTCTATAGTCTAGTCTATAGTCTAGTCTATAGTCTAGTCTATAGTCTAGTCTATAGTCTAGTCTATAGTCTAGTCATCTTCTAGTCTATAGTCTAGTCTATAGTCTAGTCTATAGTCTAGTCTATAGTCTAGTCTATAGTCTAGTCTATAGTCTAGTCTAGTCTAGTCTATAGTCTAGTCTATAGTCTAGTCTATAGTCTAGTCTATAGTCTAGTCTATAGTCTAGTCTATAGTCTAGTCTATAGTCTATATAGTCTAGTCTATAGTCTAGTCTATAGTCTAGTCTATAGTCTAGTCTATAGTCTAGTCTATAGTCTAGTCTATAGTCTAGTCTATAGTCTAGTCTAGTCTAGTCTATTAGTCTAGTCTATAGTCTAGTCTATAGTCTAGTCTATAGTCTAGTCTATAGTCTAGTCTTATAGTCTAGTCTATAGTCTAGTCTATAGTCTAGTCTATAGTCTTCTATAGTCGTAGTCTTATGTCCAGTCCTATAGTCTAGTCTAGTCTATAGTCTAGTCTATAGTCTATCATAGTCTAGTCTATAGTCTAGTCTATAGTCTAGTCTATAGTCTAGTCTATAGTCTAGTCTAGTCTATAGTCTAGTCTATAGTCTAGTCTATAGTCTAGTCTATAGTCTAGTCTATAGTACTAGTCTATATAGTCTAGTCTATAGTCTAGTCTATAGTCTGTCTATAGTCTAGTCTATAGTCCTAGTCTATAGTCTTGTCTATAGTCTAGTCTAAAGTCTAGTCTATAGTGTAGCCTATAGTCTAGTCTATAGTCTAGTCTAAGTCTAGTCTCTAGTCTAGTCCTATAGTCTAGTCTATAGTCTAGTCTATAGTCTAGTCTACAGTCTAGTCTATAGTCTAGTCTATAGTCTAGTCTATAGTCTAGTCTATAGTCTAGTCTATAGTCTAGTCTATAGTCTAGTCTATAGTCTAGTCTATAGTCTAGTCTATAGTCTAGTCTATAGTCTAGTCTATAGTCTAGTCTATAGTCTAGTCTATAGTCTAGTCTATAGTCTAGTCTATAGTCTAGTCTATAGTCTAGTCTATAGTCTAGTCTATAGTCTAGTCTACAGTCTAGTATTTGATCTTATCTATAATCTAGTCTATAGTCTAGTCTATTGTCTAATATATAGCCTAGTGTAATCTATAGTGTAGACTATAGTCTAGTAAATAGTATAGTCAATGTTTTAGTCTAGATTTAGTGCTTAGTCTTCTGTTAAGGTTCTTCCTTATTTTAATATTCAATAATTTTCCCAGGAGTTTTTAAATTAGAATTCTATGTCCTTTTAAATAAAAAGGATAAAAATCGTTTTTTGTTTGAAAATTAAAACACAATCGCAAACAATATGCAAAATTATTAAAAGAATAGAGAGCAAAAAGATTAAACTTTATATTGCCTTTTGTTTTGAGTTAAACGCACAATAGAGTATTTAAATAAATTTAAACCAAGTTTAACAAAACTGTCCTTTATTTTAAACGTTACAAAAACAACAACTTTAATCCCTGATTAAACTACCACTAATTTATTATTTGTGGTTAGTGGTGCATGCCCATTTTTTTTGTCGTGTAGTTGCAGTGACCAGTATTTTGCATATTCTAGCAAATCCCTTGAAAATTTCCCAACCACCAGTTCGTTCGTGCGTCTTTGATCACTTAACAAAATCAATTGTAATCTTTAGATTATAATGATTTCAATTATATTTTCCTACAGCTGTAGAGGGAAGTATAAATAAATACACTTGGCTGGGTAAAGAAAAAAGGGGAATTTCCTATTTTCCAAACAGAGATCCTCAGGTGATTGTCACTGAGACTACAAGCTTAAGTGACAGTTTGTTCTAGCGTTCGCCTTAAGTAGTAGTACAGTCTGTCGTCTCTTCTGTCTACCTGTTAATTTTAATATTTGTGTATTTTCCCAGATTGTTTGGAAAATCCCAAAACAAATGAAAACATTGTTGAGTCAGTGCTGCTAATAACAATAGAGAATAAAAACAACAAAGTCATAATGGAATTTAGTTAAAAACGATTTTCAATTTTATTGATCTCCTCTTCAGTTACAGCTTTCACAAAAGAATCTCATGCATACAGTCACTCATAGATAAAAAGGAGAGATAAAAGGGGACAAAAATCTAACAACAATAATAATGATAATAATAATTCTTGCTTTTTTCTTTCTTTGTTTATATTCAATACAGACTGAGAGTAATACTTTTCTTGATTTTGCTTTATTATTATTGTTGTTGGCGTTTTTAAGGCGACACTCTGTCTGGCAATACCAGTTTTTATTATGTTTCTCAGGCTTTATCACTCATCTCTACTAACTCTCCTTTAAATTAAAGAAAATTATAAATGTGTGTAGGTGTTGTTGTTGTTATTTATACACTCCTACTATTAATATACTACCTTTTTATACAACCTTTCGATAATGACCATAAAAATGCAACTCTTGTGTTTGTTGA